ACGACATCAGCTGGCACTCGCTACTCATTGTATAGGCGGTATCCCGTTCAGTGTACCACTACGATTTGAAGGGAAGTGGAATACGTGCCGAATCCCAAGAAGGGATTGATCAACGGCGAATGATTTATCCTTTATCCTTTACTTGTTTTTCTTACCCTTTTCTATCTTTCTAGTCTTCTTCCTCTCTGTTAGGCACTCCGATAATCACATCTTCTGATAATTTGAAATCATGCGCTCCTCTGAATTTTAGTCCCTCAAATAGTAATCTGAATAGATGCTTTTGAAGCTCTTGTATCAAAATCCTTTATTGGTGAGCTTTCGGCGATAACGCCGTCATCAGACCTTCAAAATACAATACATTAGTGACCTACAGCTACAACAAATACATTAACATCAGCATCAATACCTACCACGGGCGGGGAGGGGACACGGGTGGTGGAGTGAGCCTGCTGGTGCGGCGGCGCAAATGAAGTGAAGACTCTCCAGCAGCCAGCCCCAAAGGCACATGTGGTCTTCTTTTGTCGCAGTTATCACGCGATTAGCCTTAGGAGGTCACGTAGCTCCTCCCTCGCGTTGATTGCTGGCTTGATGCGATGGATTTCCCTCGCCTCCATGATTTTCCTCTCTAGCGGTCGTACTAAATGTTTGTGCAGAACACTCACATCAAATGGTGGAGGGTCCTCGTTCTCATGTTTGAGGGTACGATGCTTGGAGAATGCGCTGCGTGGGTAGGCTGCGGGATTGGACAACGCTCTTCTGTGTTCGTCCAGACGATACTTCAGCGGTCTTGCAGTCTCTCCCGTACTCTGCTCCACAACCTCTACATCGGATAAATACACAGTTGCTTGGACTTCATAGATCTCCTCGGATAAACAGTATCGACAAGAATGCTCGTGACACCGACGTTCGTAGATCCGGGACGAGGTAAGGAGGTCTCCAAGTGTGGGAGGGGGTCGGAAGACGAGTCGGATAGGGAAGCTGAGAACTCTCCACAATGCGATTCACTTCTCGTGCAATTTTATCGTTCACAAAAGGCATTGTGAGGGTCACTCCATCTGGCGACCTATGTGGAACCCATGTTTTGAAATTCCTTCGAAATATCCGTTGCTTTGAAGGACACTTTTAACATTATCGTCATTATCGGGTCCCTTCGCGTTCCAAGCTTCTCTTTTGTTCTAACAAGATTTCGTGCGACATTCGCCTTCATATAAATCGGATGAGCACTCCTGGAATGCAACAAGATGTTAGAAGAGGCCTTTTTCTTGTACCAAAGGTGTTCCTTGTAGCCCTCACGTATACGGACTTTTGTATTGAGGAACGGTAAAAATCCATCCGCTCCTGGGTCTTCTTTGGTGAAGGCTATGTTAGCATCGTGTGAATACAGTCTCTCTAAGGTCCTCACAAGATCTTCCTCTGTCATCGCATACGGTAATCTCAATGTCTAATGAAATGTCTAATGAATAATCTGAATGCACTGTAGTTAGCAGGATTTTGGTGCTCATGAACTCAAATTTAGATGCATTCTGTTGTGTCTGGCCTCACGGGACGAGTGATTCGCACGCGTCGGCAACTTCTATCGGATTTGGAAGGTGAAGTTGGCGAGCTGTCAGAGCCTGACTGGGTGGCGAATCAGTTGACAGCGTTAGCTCTACTCAGAGGAACGGATTACGAGCAGCTGCTAGACATTTACCTGACAGGAAGAAAGGTATGGCTTTAGTTTTCATTAGATTTGTTTACATCAAAATTTCTACTAATTTTCAGAATTTCATTGCAAAGCTAACAAATGAGTCAAGTTCACTCCTGAACGTCGTCACTGAACTGAAGAAGACACTTGTGGTTGTAGAACAGTTGTTTGCCCAGGGAGAACTCGTAAGAATCATTCAGGCAGCCGCCTGTCCAACTTATCGTCCAGGTATGTTGTTAGGTTCATTCGCTGTATTCAACACAAAATGGTGAGACTTTCAGCTTTGATTGACTCGCTCATTAGCGATGAAGCTTTCACCTTCGGCCGTATGCTCACTGCCGAAGCTGAGAAAGTAACTCGCCAACTAAGAGACTTCAAAGCCAGCCCAATTCTCATGCAGAAGATTAACTCGAAGTGCACTGAGTGGATCAATGAGTGAGTCTATCGGGGGTTCTAGCTATACAATACTTTCAAGCTCACGGCGGGATTCCTATGGACTTCCGTGAATGTTTCCTTGATTGTAGTGTGTGTAATTTTGCTCGAGAGCCGGTGATGTCAATCTGTGAATTCTATGATAAAGCGGATGATATAATCGAGTTTCTCCATGCAATTTGTGGAGTCCTACGAACGGTACGTGCAACTCTGATTTTCAAGAAATTATTGAATTTTGTTGGAAACTTCATCTGGTGTTTCCAACTATCTGGTTTTACGTTACTGTGTTTCTTTTGATCCTATCATATTTTTTCGTAGTGTTGTTTATTTGAGCAAATGTTTGTAGCAGCAAGCAACGTCTGCATACAGGGGGGGGGGCAAAAAAAAGTCACTTCGACCGAGTCACATATCAGCAAAGTTTTCGCAGCCCAGACAGAGGACGTGGATACGAGTACCAGGGCGGAAGATACCCAAGATGTTCCTCGATAAGCAGGAGCTGGCTTTTTCCCATAAACTTCATGCTTACCAAAAAAAAGCCATCTCCAATCGCAGCCCAGCTGAAGACCTTGGAATTCACGTCACCTCCAAACAGCTGCGAAACTTCTAGTATGGAGTCACCCATGGATAGCTACCTGGAGACCAGTACTCTCGATCTGGAAGACCTCCAACATCGAGCAGCTCCGACAACGTCGCTACGGTCTAGGACATCATCTTCACCGCAGTCGCCAAGGCGCGGGTTGATGGTATGGGGACGTACCTAGGATGGAAAGACCTATATTTTCTTCGTGGACTCCGGACTGAAGGTGAGCGCTGGCGGTTACATCGAGCAACTCGAGAAGAATATCCTCTCCACATGTCGTCGCCCGTACCTTCTTGGAAACTTTGTACTGCTACAGCATTGGGTGCCACCACATGGAATCGAAGGGCGTTGGAGAAACTCTCGCCTAAATGGAAGGGGGCTGAGTACCTAAAGAAGATGGAATATCCAAGTAGGTCACCTGACCTGAATCCCTCAATTACCCGGTTCGGGCGGAGTTCAATAGGGTGGTGGCGGAGAAATCGACTATCTCGCTGATCTCAGGCACCACATCGCGGTCGCGTGCCAGAATCTCTCGATGGCGCTCGTCCAGAAGGCTGTGGCGGAGTATTTAATATGCTCTTTAATATGGTGGTAGAAATGTCCGATCAGAATTTAATAAAGTGTAACTTATAGCGCCTCGAAAGTCAATGAAGAAAAGTGACTTTTTTTGGCCCCCTGTAGTGCGATAGTCAAACCCCGGAACTGTTCCGGTTCGACCAAATAAGACGACCTTGAAAGGATGGGTCTCTTAACCAAACTAAGGCTCCCATTCCTTCGGGGTCGTCTTATTGAAATAGTTCGTCTGGTGGTATAAGAGCGCTGACCCGTTCCTCAGCTAGTCTCAGCACATCACTGTAAGGAGCAATCGAAATGAAATTATGATTCTGAATGGTAGAAAAATTAAAGCAATTATACCCCCCGCTAAACGGTAGTTTTGTAGGGGGGGGGAGGTGGTAGGTGGGGAGAAAATAGAATCTCCGCGGAGGTGGCAGAAAGTTGAGGGAGTACGGGGAAATTAGAAAGGCTAAACAGGATGAGAGACATTGAAGGGAGATCGTATCAGAGGAGGAAATTCGGAGGGGGACGATTTGGCAAAATCCCCTCCCCCCAGCGGGAGGAAGTCCCTGCCAAACCATCAACTTCGGATTACCTTTTCTTCTGCCGCAAGTATTTTTCAAGTGTTACATTTATTATTTAGGGTTGGCCACGAATGATTCCTTATTCCACTGTTTATCAGGACCTGTTCGGCAATGTCTTGTTCAAAAAGTTTACGGTAGGTTCTTTACCTATTCAGAGAGGAAATTCTTTAGATTGTAGTTTGAAAAATGGTTGGTAGTCTCTCGTTCTTGGCTCTTTACGCCTATCAATGGTCTTTGTTTGGCTCCGAGGGCAGAAAACGAATTTTGTGAATATCGGTTTCGTTTTGTCATATCAGAATATTGGTTTCCTTTTCAGGGTATCATCTCTCGGGACTTACGTAATTTGGAGGAACAGCTTATAAAACAGTTGAAATCGATCAATACTGCACCCCCTCCTCTGTTTGAGAAGACGTCCAACAAATTTGATCCTCTCATGGGAATTGGAATTTCGGCTGCTCTCCAAGAGTATGTGGTTTGTATCAAAATCTGTTATGTTTCAAAGCTCACGAAGTCATCTTAATGACCATTTGTTCAGATGTATTTTGAAATTCTATGTTGGTGTCCAAAACGCTCGCGAATGTTGCGGAAGGTACGAGCAAGTGGAATTGGATTCTCAGCCAGAACGGGTCAGAGAGTCATTGGCCGCTGAACTATTCGCTGTCATCGAAAGGTAATTTTCCAGTTTGCAGCGACACGATCTTACGGCCAGTTTGGGCCTTGGGATCAAGCCCTC